TTTTTTTTTTTTTTTTTTTTCTAGGAGGACAGCAGTAGTAGCGAAGTGGGCCCGGAGAACTTATCGTTACCGAAGCAGCAGTGTCCGCGGGCAGAGTCGCCGGAGTCGCCGCCGCACGGCTACGCGCCCTACCTCCTGCCCCCGTCTAGTCGCTCCAGTCACTTCCAACAGAGGTCGCCCGTCGACACCCTCCTCAGAGTCTTCCCGGGCAGGAGAAGACAGGAAGTCGAGGCCGCCCTCCAGCAGTGCAAAGGCGACGTCCTCTTCGCAATAGAAATGATGGCGGTAAGCATAACACAGTCCGGCTCCAAGAGTGACGTCACAGAGTCCAAGGGGGTTAAAATGCGGTCGTCCAAAGTAGAGTACCTACATAGCGAGAGTATGGACGGATCGCTTTATGGAGGGCTTAGGGCCCAAAAGTGCAGCCACCCTTCTAACCAACTTCTAACGCACAAAATTTTACTGCCAGTCTGCAGATTCCAATTCTAACCAAGATGGCTAAGAATGTACATAAATGAGCGTTCTTCCGCAAAAATGAGTAAATTTAGGCAAAAACTAAGTCAAATACGTGCTTTGTAAACGATGGTTCGTAACAATTGCATTAGTAAGTCGCTCTGGATAATTGAAATTAATAGGTTGGCTGCATTTCTGGGCCCTAACTTTATTCGCGGAGGCATCGGTGAAAGGCCTGATGGATTTTCGGAGTTTCACATCTGTCTATACTCTCGCTATACAGGTACTCTAGTGCAAAGATAAACGCCGTAATGAGCCTTCAGGCGTTGCCAAATTTCTATTTACAAAACACGAATAACTTGGTAAACTTATGAATATTTTTCTTCTAATGTTTCAGATATTGTTGTTTGCAATTTCACCTAAAGTTCCTGAAAATTTCGAGGAAAAATATTAATATCTTTCCTTACAATAAACATTTTACTTTTACATAGGAAATTTGGCAACTCTCGAATGTTCATACGGCGTTCTTCCTCCGCACGGCAGAATGGGTATCTACGGGCTGATTATTGAAATTGATAGACGAAGAGGACACAGGGCATAGGGAGTATGGAGCGATCCTACCAGTTGAAATGGTTGGTTCCTACAGAACAGACTAAGGGGAAAATGATGGACTATCTGTGCGGTCTCTCGTGGGTTGCCGTTAGTTAGTCTGTCATCTATGCCTCCTTCTTCCATTGCAATCACTCGCTTCTACCGATAAGATTCCTCCATATCTCTCTTGTATTCTTTCTCTATAGCTCTGTCTGTCAATTTCAATAATCGGCCTGCTGACATGTACCCCAATAGGGAGGATGATGGGAGGGGTTGCATATGAAATCTCCTCTTTATGGATCAGTGTATTTGTCGCAGGCAATTAGCAATCTCCAGTAAATTGCAATATGCTTCCAGGACTTCATGTCCACCTACCTTTCGTCCATTAAATAAATGTCCACCGCTATTTATGTCCACTAAACGTTAAGTCCGGTCTTTATTAAGTCCACATGATTTAATGTCCAACCATGAATATGTCCAAAATTGTTCAAATTGTGGACATGTTACGTCCACATTGTTTTCTTCTCATTTAAATGACAGGAACCACCTCAAAAATAAATGCATACTACTACTACCTTCATTCTTAAAAACATTTCATTCATGAATCAAAGTCATGAAAGAGAACAGACTCTAAGAGCAAATAAAAACATATGTTCATGTGTACACTGTACGGATATGATAAGATGAAAACCAAAGCGGGAGCCTAGGAAACGCTCCAATGCCAAATTAAACATTTTTCAGTGACAGATGCAGTCAAAATTGAAAGTCCTCTTCAACTAGTTATGTCGTGCGCTTTCAATCTTGTAGGATACTGTGCAACGCTTCTGACGCGAAATAGTTGCTTAAAGCGTTGCGGCGCGGCAGGAAACCAGCGTGACACGCGCACAGGCGCCTACAAACCTAACGGGATACTTCACGCGTTGCGCAATGCGTGAAGTATCCCGTTAGGTTTGTAGGCGCCAGTGCGCGTTCTGCGCTGCTAACACGCCGCTCCGATCTGTGTTTGGCTCTAATATTGCAACTCGCGGAGTCAGCGTTTTTCAACTCATGATTTTGAAATGTTTGCACTCTCTGCATTGATTATTCCCTATTAAACTGATGAAAAAGAAATATGTACTACTGGAAAATATAATGTGTTTTTTGTAAATATAATAGTGGTTCCGTGTCAAATTTAATGATTTCCAAAGCATTCAAATTGATTCTTTTATGTTATGGGCTTTTATTGTGCTGCTCATACTAAACGCTCATAATTGGACGTATTTGACCCAAGAAGGTCGATTTACAAATAAGTTAAAAACAAAAAATTGCGTGCTTCTTAGTTTTTTTCCTCTCTTATTAATTTTTGTATAGTTTCTTTCATCGCAACTACGGCTCATTGAGATTCGTATCGATGCCATTGCTTGGAAAAGGTTTTAAAAATATTTACCACGTTTTAAAAATGTAAATGTTTTTAAAATGAAGTAATCAATTTCATTAAAAAAAAAGAATGCACATTTAAGGCATATTTTATATCGGAAATTTCAAGGATGGAAATGAAACCGAGTATTTACCAAAGACAATTTGAAAAGATGAATCAAAAGAAGAAATTAACATTTCATTTAAGAGTTACAATAACAACACCTCATTCTCTCTTAATTTTCTCATTTCGATATTGTCAATACAATTTTACACACGGACTAAAATACATTATAACGCTCGAATTTGATTTTAGTGGACTTTACATTTGTGAACTTAACTTAGTGGACGTTTAAATAATGGACTTAAGAATTGTGTGGGCTTTAGAACTGTGGACGTAAAAATTGTGGACGAAAAGTCTGTGGACATAAAGTCCGTGTACCTGCAATATATTCATTTGGGGTGAAAAACGGAGATATTTAGATGGAAGGAAATAAGATGGAAAGTACTGATTATTGTTCTTGGAATGCAAATAGACAATTGGTATGGACAATGGATATGTGCAAAGCCGAAGTTCTGAGTGTAGGACCCGGAGCAGTCGAAGCTACGGCTCCAGCACCCGGAACTCTCGGCCTCTAAGCCCAGAATGGACGGTATGTCTATATAGATAGTGAGTGCGGCCTCCGTACTCGGAGTTTTCTTCAGTCCACTGCACCAGCTTTACAACTAAAAATGGATCAGTATGTCAGGTACCCAGTTCAGCATTCTACCACTAGTTCCTTCACCAGAAATTAACGTAAAGCACAATTTGTGCAACGAAAATGACTAATATCAACTCATTACTAAGATATTAACATTTTTAGTTACATTAGTTGAGAAAGACCAGTTGAGTCTATCCTTGAATTAAATCTCGCAATATGACGTTTTTCGTCCCAACTCAAAGCTCCTTGATTTATCATAAAGTTCCGTCCACGCCCTGTGTTACCGTGTTAAAAACGTGCAACATCTGAGCTGAAGCACCGACATTAAGGTTTCTATATTTTAATACCGCAGAGACCGTTGCAGTAATGTTTGATGCGCAATTTTTCGCAAGCAGACTTCTGTTTTTTCATAAGGGGGAGTTTGAATTTACACACGAAAAAACGTTAAACAATTTAATTAGGAGTTATTTTCAGTAATCCTCGTTACGCAAAACGTGTTTTACGTGAAATTTTCGTTAGGAAACAGGTAGCAGAATGCTGAAATTCGTGTATTTTGTCTACTCTTCGTCCACACTGAAAAAAAAAACTCCGGCCGTGGAAGCCGTAGTCACGGGCTTTACAGAAAAACCATCCGCGTTCCGGGTTCAAAGGCCAAAACCTCCAGGCGTATAGCATCCGGAACAATGGAAGCTACGCCTCCAGCACCCGGAAGTTTCGGCCCATGATACCGGAACGGACGGTATGTCTATTTGCCCGTCACTGTTTTTTTTTTCGGTGCATTTTTAGGGTGCACTAGACGTCACGTCAATTTTGAACATTTTTTTCAACTTCTCCATTATCATTAGAGAATCGCATCTTGCGTGTTCAAACAATACAAGATAAATAATTAATTGAAACATATACCAGAACACGCATATTATGTAGAATTAACAGAAAAGTTAACTCTCGATAACTCTTTCATTATTGTGCTTTTGCTTTTTTGATCATAGTCTTTATCATGCATTGTGACACTTCTTTATCTTTATATTGTGCTCTTTCTTGTGTTTTGTGAATTTTTCTTGCTGAAGATTTTTTTTTTCATTTGCACAAGAAAATAAACAGTGTACAATTTCAATCACTTATAGACGTGTTATACGTCTTTTAAAGTTTGACTAAACTGCTAATAACTTACAATTAACTATGATATCTAATTTTAACATAAATAATGCATAATTTTAACAAAGAGATATACTACCTCTGTATATACCTTGCTGAAGATAGCTATTAACCAAAATGCATCCGAGAAAATATACTGTTAATTCTTCATAATATGCGTGTTCTGGTAGGTACATCTTTTAATTAATTGTTTATTTTCCATTTTCTAAATTTCCCGTTTCCTCCTTTTCTGTTGCAGGCGTGCCCCGATCCGGAGAGCCCCCTGCAGCCGCGCTCTGCGTTCTCCCCGCTGGGGCCCCACCCGTACGCGGCGGCGGCGGCCCTTCAGCGGGCCTTCAACCCCCACCACCGGGTCAACCGGAGCTTCCTCGGCCCCCCCTACGCGGGCACCGGGTACCTGCCCACGGTCATGCGGCCCGACTACCCCTCCCTGCCCCCGCCCCTCGATCACTTCCTCCCCGACAAGGTCAACGCTTCATCCCCCGGCTCCGCATCAGGCTCGGATAAGACGCTCTACTCCGAGTAGCCCATCGGAAGATTCTCACTCCTATCAGGATTGAATTTCATCCAGCGCTGGAGCGAGCTGGCCTTGAGCGGTCAGGCGCCCTAAAATTTTGCCAAAAGAACCCTTTTTCGTAGAACTTGAGGGCATTTGGTGACTTTTTTAGAAATTAATCAGAGCGTCTACGAACCCTTTTGAACTTTTCTTCTCTTCATCAGACGCTCTACTTCTAGTAGCCGATCGAAAGATTGTCATTCCTTGAATTTCATCGAGCGCTGGAGCGAACTGGCCTTGAAGGGCCAGCGGCCCGATTATTGAAACTATGTCAGCCCGATACGACAAGACATAGCCCTATCTCAACCATGCAATATATCGCAATTCGATGTCTTATCGGGCTGGTTTAAATTTCAATAATCGGCCCGCTGGCGCCCTAAAATTTTGCCGAAAGAACCCTAATTGAAGGGGCTCTTTTTCGTAGAACTTGGGGGCTTTCAGCGAGTTTTTTAGAAATCATCCAGAGCATCTCCTTTTGAACCTTTTTTCTCTTCACCAGGAAGCACCCCAAAGTCCTTTTCCCTTAAGCTCGAATAAGACGTTCTACTCCGCGGAGTAGATCAGGAGAATGTCACTAGGACTGAAATTCATCGAGAGCTGGTTAAGCTCAGTAGCGAACTGGCCTGGTGGACCAGGGACCCTATAATTTTGCCAAAAGAACCTTAGGTGGAGGGTACCTTTTCCGTAGACCTTTAGGGCTTCATTCAGCAATTTTTAAAAAAAACTCGAACAGAGCCTCTTCAAACCCTTTTGGACCTTTTCTCCCTTTTTGGGCCTAATGGGCATACAGGTGGTGCACAAAAGTTCATTAAGATGATAGTCTTGTATATATAACTGTTCTATTTCCGTTTTAATTTTTTATTGTGATATAAAACCCCATTATTTCATGTTTAGGTATTCATTTACCTGCAAGTAGTGAGAAACGTATTTTAAATGAATGATTTATTTATTGTTTACATTAAAAGCTATGTCCTTGTTTTCTTTGTTAGATTTACTCTAAAGATGCATAAAACTAGTCGATATTTGGAAACGAAAGAAACAAATGAAATCTGGGAGCTCTGTGATGATTATCATATTCGGCAAGAAAAACTGTAACTTAAACTCATAGCAACAACGTCTCATCTTTCTCAAGAATTATTAATCGATAACGTTTTAATGACATTTAACGACGTTAGAGGATAATGCCCACAATTCAATAATAAACTACATCTCCCAGAATCATTCCAAAATTATTCATTTCTAAATGCAAAGAGGTGTAATCTTGTAAAATAGATAATCATGTACAGATTTATGTAAGTGTTTTAATATTATACCTCTTTTATTCTACGTTATGACTAAAAATTATTGAGAATGTATATCCACTTTTAATTACATACTGTATATGAATATTTTGAGCAATGTGCATTCCACTTGTAAATAAAAAACAAAACTTTTAAATTGGATCACTGTCTTCACTTTTCCATTTTCTCCTTTATTTCACCATTGTTATAGTGCTGAAAAATGAACGAGAAAAAAAAAGCGATAGTAAATTTATTTTTAAGCTTTCCTAACATAATCTGCTAAATTTACACCTGGATTTTAATGAACTTAGAAGCAAGAAAGCAAAATAAAACAAAAAGTGATGTCTCACTGTTTGTACAGCCAAGGAGCAATATATTTTAAGTGATACATTCGTCGTTTTTAAAGTATACTTCAAATGCAAAGAGAGCTGTGCAGTAGTAAGTGAACAGTCTTAATCCTTCAAATAGGTTTGCCTCAAAAATGACATTCCATACCACAAACTGGAAATCGTCACAACTCCAGTTGTCCTATAAATAAGTTCCATAGTCAGGTAATAGTCAGGTCATGGTAACATAGTCAGGATATTAAATTCAAAATTCGAGTTTTTCACCATTTACGACCCTTCCTTCGTGAATGATGGCATTTACTTATACATTTTCTCTTCGCAAAAATATAGCTTTTTTGTTTTTTTACTGAAATAAATTGCGGGCTTAGAAGCCGTGCTCACGGATTTTATAGCACTACCGTCCGTTGCGGGCTGAAAAGCCGAAAGTTACAGGTGACACTTCGGCCTTTGCATCCGCAGCAGTCGGAGCTATATGGCTCCAGAACCCAGAACTCAGCCTTTGACCTCGCAACGGACGGTAGTGCTGTATAGCTCGTGAGGACAGCTTCGAAGCCCGCAAATTTTTCCATTGAAAAAAAAAAACATAAATAAGAACGAACATTTTTCAACACTGAATCCAAACTGTCAACAGAAATTAAAAAAAAAAAAAAAAA